TAGATACGACACAGTTCACTAATCATGATGCACTCAAATCTAAAATGGTTCTGAATATCACACCTATTCATCAGGAAGTATATAGTCTCATAGGACATGTCTCGGTTGCGTCTGTAAACCAAATTCCAAATTTAAAACTAGTCTGATAGGACATGTCTCGGATGCGTCAGTACATCATGTTCCAAATTTAAATAAACCAGTAGTTTTATAGGATATGTCTCGGATGTGTCTGTACAACACGTTCCAAAACTAGTCTTATAGGACATGTAAATCTGGATAATTCACACAGCGCCATCAGTACAGCCATGTTCCAAATTACAAAATCGAGTCTGATATGGCACATGTCTTTCGGTACAAATAGAAAGCGTTGTGGATCGAAAAACTGTTCCAATAAAAACTATATAAGATATATAAATATAATATTATACATAAATAAATAAAAATACGGATGTGTCTGATACAAAAATTACATAAAATAAAATAATATATATAGATATAAATGTGATATATAATGTACACATATATAAATATATATATAATATATGAATATGGACTTAATTCACACAACGCCATCTAGTCAGTTAAAAAGTTTCTATGAGTAGTTAAAAAGCTTGTGTTATGAGTATATTAGACAACTGATATAAATAAATAGATATATATTGTAAATGTATACATAGAGAGCACCCAGACCGATATAAACAATCATACTCATGAATATAAATGTTTGTATAGTGCGAGAAATCGAACCCGCGCCCATCGGAAGCAAGGCGGGATAAGGCTAAACCGCTAACCTACCGAGGCCGTCAAATTTAAATTCAAAATATTTTTGATATTTTAATGACCTACTGGTCATTTTAGCATCTTATGAATGTTATAATTTTTCTTGTATCTGTATATAGATGATGGTCACCGTTTACCATCAGGAAAATTACCACCTCACCGCCCGTGTGCTCGCCACTCCAATTAAATAAAAAAAAAAATAAGCTGAAGTTGTTTAGTTACGAGTTGTTTCAGTTGTTCGTTGTTCAGTTAGAGTAGTAATATAATTACTCGACATTCATTGCACTAATGTGACGCTTACACACACTCTCGGCCTTACATACACAAACAGAAATAGCAATTGAGACAATGATATAGCTTTTATTTAATGGCTAATAATCAGTGATCGGTAGATTAGTAAAGTAGTTAGAGCTATTTATATATATTCTTTATTACACATATAACACAAAGACATTATAATTTAGAGATAAAGTGAGCAAAGGTGGAGAGAAGAGATCTCTTCCAGTCAACCTAAAACAGTGGTATAGGTGGTACAAAGTGGGTAATAAATGGTGCAAAAAAAATAATAGAATAATATGGATATTCCCCGAATACCAAGATTTCTTTTTTAAATAGAAAAATAATAAATAGTTATTTACGCCTTAGGGAGATTTCTCCCTAAAGGCTTAAATAGCTTAAATAACTTTTTATTATTTTTACAGAGAGACAAAACATTCCTATAAGTATAAAGACAGTTTAAAAGATAGTAAATAAATTAAATGGAATGAAATGGCAGAGCACCAGTGGAGGATAACCTAAACCCTGACCTGAAATCACCTGACCTCATACTCATCGTATGAGGTCTGCTCATGTTGTATACTGTACTGGCTATTCAGAAATGTATTTTTATTTAAATTTTTATTTTGTATTTAAATTTACAGTTCTTTTATAGTACACTTTTGTTTATAATTTAATTTCTTGACAATCGTTCCTAATATATGTGTATTTATCAAGATATCAAGTCTTTTCTCTATTTGCTTTTTATCTATATACATGTTACATTATTAAAAAAATTACAATCTTGCTAATGAAAAAATATACTTTTAAATTAATAAATAACTGGACATTGAGGGAAGGGGATTGTTAGTAATGTGGACTAATAACCCCATTGCTAGCAATGTACCATACTAGATTGACCTTTACGTCGTTCCCCCTGGAAATCGTCGTGATAAATTCCTAGTGAATTTACCACGATGGTCCACGCACAACGGCCCGAATGAGAGGCTAATTGCGGAGACTGGAGTCCAACATACATTACCACGGTGGTCTAACTGACCTGACCTAATGCTCATCTTATCATCCTCCACTGGTGCCCCGCCAGTGTAAACCGTTAACGCAGGCGGGTGCACCATTCCATTATCATCCATAAGTTGTATAGATATGGGTATATTTATTATATCTAATTAACTATAATATAAATCTTACAATATTTTCCACTTCATATGTAGTAGAGAGAAATTTAATAATACAGATCACTATGTGCTATAACTCCAGTGGCCGTATGCAAAAGTTATTCCATTATCATCCATAAGAAAAATAATGGTCATTTAATAGTTGGACTGCGTTATACCATTAAATACACGGGAACTATAAATAGTTTTGTTTATAATTTTTACAGTTTCCAAGAACCTTCATATAATTTGCATGCCTATAGGGTAGATATTGCTGATCAATATATCCAATATTTCGCAAATAAGTTATTTCATTATTTCGTTTTATATCATTTCAATTGACAATTAAAAGTATGTAACGGATTTTGTAAGTTTGGAGAAATAAAAAAAAAATAGTTATCATTTAATAAAAGTTAATTCATTAATATTGTCAAAATAAAAGACTAAATGAACTGGCACAGTATAGGCAGTACTCGAGATAAGACGAAATCAAAGCTATGACGCCGTTGTTATCTGGAGTGGCCATTGATAAGTGTTGGTATTGCGCCGATTGTTATCATTGTGAAGTGCCGTCCCAGTAAGCCGATGAAAGCTTTTATTCTCTCTTCTATCTTTTTGCTACTTTTTTTCCCACAGACGTATGCTTCGTGCTTTATTAATTTACTTTCTTTATATTATGTGAAGCTTCTTATACATATTTTTTGCTATATGCAATGTCTTTTCATTTTTGTTTGTGCCTCTGGCTCACCTACAGTAGCCAAGTTGTGTTTTTTATCATTTTGGACGACCTAGGCGGTGGCAATTTAGCACACTGCTTTACTTCCGATGGTCGTAGATTTGATTCCACGCACTCATGAATACAAATGTTTGTACCACATTTGTTTTCATGAGTATGATTGCTTGTATCGGTCTGGGTGTTCTCTATGTATATTACGTATGTATTAAAAAAAAATCTATGTATTTGTATCAGTTGTTTAGTACACTGTGTGAATTGTTCACGGATATAATAATAATACTGTATCTCTGGCATCACATACCTTCCCAGGTTGCATTATCTAATAGGGTGCATTTCCAATATATTGAATATATTGTTTGTTGTTTCCAATATATTGGACACTGCAACAAAACTAAAGATTTATCTAAAACCTCCTTAATATTTTACGTCACAAATTTCAAATAAAGAATTCCGTACGTTCTCGAGAGATCGCTATTTGTAATATTCTTTTGTTTTTCTACACACTATTTTTACACCGCTGTACTCGAGTTATTATTAAATATCTACATATTAATATACCTATTTCTAAAGCCAGGGCTAAATGTATTACCTAGTTATGTATATAAATAGCTAACTAAGATTCGTGTTATAAATGTGAAAGTGTCTGTCACTCTTATTTATAAGAAGGACTATCTTTAGACGCATTGAACCAATTTATTTATGCTCTAACTATGAATAATAAACAATACTGATAAATTTATTGTCAGGCGCTATTCAAGAAGTTCTTAGAAAAATAACATTTCTGTATAAGTGTATTGTTAAAATATGAGACAGTTCACTAATCATGATGCACTCATATCTAAAATGGTTCTGAACATCACACCTATTCATCAGGAAGTATATAGTCTCATAGGACATGTCTCGGTTGCGTTTGCAAACCAAATTCCAAATTTAAATCTAGTCTGATAGGACATGTCTCGGATGCGTATGTACACCGTGTTCCAAATTTAAATCAAGTCTGATAGGACATGTCTCGGATGCGTAGGTACACCAAGTTCCAAATTTAAATCTAGTCTGATAGGACATGTCTCGGATGCGTCAGTACACCATGTTCCAAATTTAAATCTAGTCTGATAGGATATGTCTCTAATGCGTCAGTACAGTTGTACTGTATATATTCATGAATAAAAGATTATATTACGAAATTTGCGCGGTATGAAATTTTGCACTCATATAGTTTATAAAGGAGTGTAGAATGCTAACAATTTTATTTAATTATACATAAAAATACGTTAAATCAATAGAAAAAACATTACATACAGTACTATCGCCGCAGCTGGCCTTTACAGCTTCACATGATAGGGACGAGTGCAGATGACACTCCAAACCAAAGGAAGGGCTGAAGACCGACTCCCGTCTTACGGATACGACTTTAGTCTGAGGGCACGGTTAGGGCTTCAAACATCGGCTCAGGTCCTCCTTATTTCGAACCCGGGCCCGCCAGTATGGACTGGTTTTGAACTACCAGCATAGAACCTATCATAAGGCTCCACTCGGAGCCATTTCTGTGGTTACATGTTTAATTGGTTTTTCTATTTTATTTTAATTATATATGTATTTATATATTTGATATTATTTGTTTCCATTGTAAGGACTGCACACTTGAAATTAATAATATAGTAACAACAAAATTATTTAAAAAAGCAACACGCAAGTTTCTTTCTCATTCATCTTATGATGCTTTCAGAATAAGCGGTAGATTCAAAACAAATGTGATGACTATTCAAAAGTGCTTCCATGTAAGTTTATTATATATGAATAAATTATTCTATTCTAATGACTAAATATTTTTTTCTTTCTTTCTAACTTTCTTTGTGTTATTAAAAAGTAATTAATATCTACTTGCTATCGTCTAGCTGTTTTTAAAACTTTACTCCTTTATTTGTATTTAAATGTCTAAGTATTATTCACCTGACATCTCGTACTGGATATAAATGGCCGTTCACATTGACAACAAACTAAAATATATTTACCTGAATTTTTTATTTAATATACTAAGGTAACATAACGCTTACCGGTCCACCATACACGTATCCAAGTTCCAAAGCGATCAGCTGCGCTACTTCTTCGCCACCTTCCACTTCCACCGTCCACTCGTTGACGAAATGATTCGCGTGTTCTAGTCCGTCGTGCACTCCATGATAGCTATAATCTCCTGGTGCCCAAGAGTTATATACCAAGGGATTATGTATAATTTCAGCAGAAATTAAATATATTTTTAAAAATAGAATGAGAAAAATAACCATCATGTTTGGTAGATATTAACAATTTTTTTATTATATTTAATTCCCTTGTTATTTTTTAATTTAGTCAGGCGACGGCGGTGTCTATGTAAATACTAACGGTCGCGCTGGCTGGAAACAACAGAGAAAAAAGTGTGAATTTTCCCGGCTGCCTGCCGGTCGAGCGTATACTCGTCTGTTGACTTAAACGTGCTCCGTAAACGCGTTACGTGGCTTTTCAACCGCCTTCAAAAGAAGGTTCTTAATAATTTACACTGTATTTTCTAAACAAAGTTTCTTATAGTTGATACTAGACAACCACTATTATTATATACACTCACTAGCTGTCATCTGCGTTATATTTCAATATTTCTGATATTGAAATATAATTTAAATTTCAATAAAAAATATAGCCTGTATGTTATTCTGATGAATAAGCTATATAAAGTTACAAAGTTTCATCAAAATTCGTTCAGTAGTCTTTGCGTGAAAGAGTAACAAACATCCATACTCACTAACTTTCGCGTTTATAACATTATTAAGAAAGATTTGACTTATACTGTCATTGGGACATTTAGTGCAGTGTACATATTTAATAAAGATGAATTTGTGTTTGCTTATAAAATCTTATATTATAAAATCTGTTATTATTACTATGTGTATATTATTGCAGTACAAAATTACGACAAATGTAATGTATTTGATAGGATAACGCAATTGCTACTAATACATTTAAGACATGGTAGACAATACAATATAGTTGGAATTTTGTCTGTAATGTCTTCTCAATTACATTACATTTTAAGTAAATTTATAATTATAATTTATATCAATAGCTTCTCTCAGATAATTTAGATTTGTATTAAATATTATGTTTATTCATGAAATTCAATAAATGTAATGAGTTGGTTATAACCCGAAATGTTGAAGGCGCTACCCATGGGATCATTTGTGACTTTGCGTAAACAAGCCGGCCAGGACGAATCTTAGAATAAATGGACACGTACGATTTTATACATTATATGTTTTGTACAATATTTATCTAAATAAATAGATATATAATGAAATAACATAGCATTAGCAACCGACCGAAATTATAAAAGGTTTGCAACAGAAATCAAATTTGGGCTGTTTCTTTTAGATTTATGCATATACATACATATATATAAGACTAGCTGTTGCGTGGAATTTAACTTATCTTTCTAAAATAAAATGCATTTAAGTACTTTATTTACACCTGGAAAATCCGTCATGGAGACCCATTGGGGGGGGGATATGGGGGGGAATAGGAACAGCCAGACTCCTACCGGCTACAAACCTGATAGCTATTCCCCCTGACATAACGCCGTGGTCATGAGACCTCAGTAGGCATTCGACAAGACCACCGGCATGGTTCCCATCAAAGGGACCTTTCATCTAGGCGTGCAGGGAAACATATATATACCAATATGTATATAGATTTGTTAAGATAATTAGGTGAAGTTCCGAAACTTTGTACTGAGTTTTACTTATTACTAGCTGTACTCGTGACTTCGTCCGCGGAAATTTAACTTTATTTTTCTAAAGTAAAAGATTTTTTTAAATCAAATTAACTTAGGCTAAGTTACTCCTTATTACATCAGCTACCTGCCAAAAAAAGTCCCGTCGAAATCGGTCCAGCCATTTCAGAGCTTAGCCGGAACAAACAGACAGACGGACAGACAGACAGACAGACAGACAGACAAAAATTGTAAAAAGTGTTATTTTGGTGTACGTACCAAATTTATATTCAAATGCATGTAGTAAAAAATGGTTATTTCAATATTACAAACAGACACTCCAATTTTATTTATATGTATAGATGTATAGATTAAACAAAAAAATACTGCGACTCATGAAAATAATTAACATATATATAGAAAAGTTATCTGCTCGTTATGTAAGGTGCATAATTACTTCAGAAAGAAATATATGAATATTTTATAATTAATCTCGCCGTAGCAGTCTCGCTGGAAGTCCGACGATAATGATTTCCATAACTTTACGTAGACATGATGGAAATGGAGAGGACGGAGGATTGGAAAGGGACAGGACGACAGAAAAAGAGGATAGAGATATATTGAGTAAAAGATGAAAAATGAAATTAAAATTGCTCTTTATTGATCCTCCACAGAAAGATAGAAAGAAAAAAGAAGAATAAATATGTTGTAGTTTATTCATGTAATAAGAAAAAAAACTAGACTAAACGTAACTAGATAAACGGAGAAAAATATATATTAATATAGACTACTGACAATTGAACATGAAGGAAAAGAAATTGAAGTAACAAACAAGCATCTACAAAAGGAACTAAGGTAAAGGGCCATATTATGAAACACCTTTTGAGTAGGAGTTGAATATTTTACATTATTTAAAAAAAATAGAGTTGAAACATTGAATTTTTCTAAGTTAATAGTTTGCCTGATATCTACTGAAGTGATAATAATTATTATCAAGTGAGTTTTAGTTGAAAATGCTAATAAATTGAATAAAATAACAGACAAGTACATACGGCCGTATTTATGAAACAGTCTAAAGCAACACGTACGGGTGTTCCATCGGGAATGTCCCAAATTATGGAACTCAAAATGAACTGAAGTACTCGCATTAAAAACATTTTTCAGTTACTAATTTATTTATTCATAGTATCAATAGTTTTATTACTAATTATTAATACAGTTAGATTTAAAAATTATACGAATAAACAAGCAATAAATAAATATTCACTTACAAAGTAAGTATGACAAGAACAGTTTCAAATCTTAGGATTAATAAACAAGATATAAAAACCAAATATACATTAAATTAAACCAAAAATTCAACTATTTCATTTCTTCTTTGATCCTTTGTATTAATGCGTTCTCTAGTAGCTTTTTCCGTTCATCAGCTATCACTTTTTTCTCATTTAGTAATTGTTTTCTTTTATGTAGCTTTTCTTCTTTAGTTTTACGATCAGTTTCTTTTTTTGAGTCATATTGCATCCATTGATCAGATGTGCCAGCAGAAGGTAGTTTGAGTTTACCTGATGACTCAACTTTAATCCATTTTTTCTTGACTTCAAATTCAACTCAAATATTAATTCATCACCAACATTACGCTTCAAAATATTAGTTAAATTTAGTCAATTTAAATTACTACTTTCATAAATACCAGAATGAGCTTCAGTAACCATATCTAAGGTTCATTTTATACTATAATTTCATACAGTAATTACCTCAGGAATGGCTGCTTTGTTGAGACTGGGTACTGGTATTTATCAGAGGAGAATATTTATTAGAAGAATGACAATCATTGTTAAGTGTCATGTAATCATTAGTTTTATCATTCGACTTGATTATTAATCAAATTATTTTCTTACTGTTCTGTTCTTTCTCTAAAAATTAAAATTTACCAACGTCACTTCTTTGACAGTTAGTTTATTTATTTCAGGAAAACCAACCAATATCAAATTATAAAAATTATACCAATAATCAAAAATAAAAATAACAATATAAAATAAATCTATAGAATAAAGATATCAAATTCTATAAAAAAAATGTATCTACCTACAAAAATTATTAATTTAAAAACATCTATAAAAATGTGATATGTAGGTGCTTCGTAAAAATTTTGAATAAAATAAAGTGTTATTAATTTTTTCAGGCAGGTTTTCCACTTAAGTATATGTTTTAATTAATATAAAACAATATTTATCATCCAGCTTATTCATTTTTGAGGTTAGTTTTTCATTTTCATAGAATTTTACAATCTATGTACATATCTAAATGCAAATTTTTAGAAATATAAACTGTTCTAACGTAAATTGCTTTGTTATAATTAATTAACAATGATTAACACGAAATTAACTAAATATTGTCCACTTTTTGCTGTTTCATAATTACGGACAACTTAGAAAATCGAATGTGAGGGGGATGTGGAACACTGAATATACTGTTCCATAAATACGGTCTGTTTAGAAATTTTTGCGGCAATTATGAAACACCTAAATAAAAAATAAATACCTTATTAAAGTACTTTAAATTCATTATCAATCAATAGATTATAAGTCAAACTTTTGATTGACATGTTTCAAGTATTTTTGAATCATTGACAAATATTTCAAATTGTTAAAACAATTGTGATGACACGTGTCATTCTCTAACTCTAAAAGACAGTCTTTTTTCATGCAACCTGACACGGGCATTTCATATATTTTTTTTTCTATACATTTTAAGGTGTTTACAAAAATAAATTAATTTAATCAATAAATAGGTTATTAAAGATCATAAAGATAATATTATAAATACTGAATACGTTAGAAATTATTTGTAATTCGGATTTTTATCACTTGTTTCATAAACTAGTACAATGTTCCATAATATGGCCCTTTACCTTATAAATTTTAAAATACAAATTTAGATATAAAAACACATTTCTTATTAACCAGTTACAATAAAATATTTATTCAGTGCTTTACAGTTCCAATATAAACAATATCAAACAAAAAAAAGATAAAATAAAATAACATGTATTTTTACTTAAACTTAATTTTTTAATAAATACTTAACATTTAACAGCCTCGGTGGTCTAGTGGTTTAGCACACCGCTTTACTATCCGATGGTCGCGGGTTCGATTCCTCTCACGGTACAAACATTTGTATTCTTGAGTATGATTGTTTGTATCGGTCTGGGTGTTATGTATGTATAATATGTATTTTATTTACAAAATAACAATGTGTCCACGTTGAATACATGGACGTAGTATTAAATATAATTTGACACACGGTGGAAATTGAATTGTCTCCTGAACTAGAATGGAGCCTTACAGTGCCTATATGCGTGTAAAAATATTTATTTTTAATTATCAAATCAAAAATAATTTATTCATGTAAGACATTTTAGCCTTATGAACGTATTTTTTTATATTAATATTTTTTCCTACCATCCAATTCAGTATGTAGATACTATTGAGAAGAACTGACATCTGTATATAACAATAATAATATCTCAGGACAATTCACACAGCG